CTCCTCCTTTAAAAAGTTCCCCGCATACAGGTTTTCTGTATATTCTCTACCCCCCTCCTCCTTTAAAAAGTTCCCCACATACAGGTTTTCTGTATATTCTCTACCCCCCCCTCCTTCTTTAAAAGGTTCCCCACATACAGGTTTTCTGTATATTCTCTACCCCCCTCCTTCTTTAAAAAGTTCCCAACATACTGGTTTCTGTATATTCTCTACCCCCCTCCTCCTTTAAAAGGTTCCCCACATACAGGTTTTCTGTATATTCTCTACCCCCCTCCTCCTTTAAAAAGTTCCCCACATACAGGTTTTCTGTATATTCTCTACCCCCCCTCCTTCTTTAAAAGGTTCCCCACATACAGGTTTTCTGTATATTCTCTACCCCCCTCCTTCTTTAAAAAGTTCCCCACATACAGGTTTTCTGTATATTCTCTACCCCCCTCCTCCTTTAAAAAGTTCCCCACATACAGGTTTTCTGTATATTCTCTACCCCCCTCCTCCTTTAAAAAGTTCCCCACATACAGGTTTTCTGTATATTCTCTACCCCCCTCCTTCTTTAAAAAGTTCCCCGCATACAGGTTTTCTGTATATTCTCTACCCCCCCCTCCTTCTTTAAAAGGTTCCCCACATACAGGTTTTCTGTATATTCTCTACCCTAGGTACCCCAGAGCCTCTGTGAATGGAATGGTCGAAGAGTGGACTAACGCCCCACTCATCTTACTACCCACTCTTTCACTGACCCATTCTCTCACTGAGGCCCTAGCATTCAGTGTAATATACTTTCCCTTTTTGTAAAATTATTAATTATTTATCTTGGTTATCTATGTCTGTTGTTTTTGCATTTTTCAAGCTGAATTCTAGATTATCAAGTAGTAGTCAAAATTCAGAACATGCTGTCTTGCTATTTTAATGTAGCAATGTAATGCATCGTGTACAGATATTCAAATTTTCTGGCATGCACTCATTTTTTTATAAGGAACTTGCTAAAGAAACGAGTACTGGACAGTCAGAAAAAATTAGGAAACTTCAGTACTAGAAGCAAAAAAATTAAGAAACTATTAAATCGTGATAAAACTGAGAACAACGAAATTTTGTAAAATCCAAGAACAAGATTGCCCTGTTGGCCTAGAACTTAAGACACAAGGGATAAAAATATACTTCCCACATCTAAATACAGCATCGGAACGGAAGCGAATCTCTTGACGTGATAAAAAAGGTCACGAGCATTTCATAACATCATTTATGACATCATAATTAAGAAACTCTTAAGAAAGAATGAGTATTGAAATTTCCAGAACATTAAGAAACTGGAGTACTCAACATCGACATTTGTTTCTTATAAAAAAAATTAGTATAATCTATAATTCTCAAAACGAGCATTCTATGGTGAGTTACCAATAACCCTAATTAGTACAAAATGTTAGTTCTTTTAGATATTGTATGTGAGCAGGTTTTAACTATATGTTGAAGAAAGTTCGCGCATTAATTATGCAGAACAGTAAATACGAAAAAAGAAGCAATTATTTCAACTGAAATGACACAAACATGAAGAAAGGGTGAGGTGCAAATATAATGAATAGAAGTTACCCAAACCTAGGACGCATTAAAAAGTAAAGATTTTTTCAGGAAAAAGAAGAAAACAAGATAATTGTGCAAACGTATCTGGACAATTTGAATTTTGTTTCCCTCAAATTTAATGAATAATTTAGTCATGTTTCCATTAGCTTTTCACAAAGTTTTTGAATAATTTAACTACAGATTTCAACTTGTCAAAATTCAACACCTAACCAAAGCAGAATGGAGTTTTGGGGAGCGCAATGTTTCTTAGATTGGGAAAGCTCTATAAAAAATTACTTGAATAAGGCTTCAAAATTAAATTGATAATGAAAAAACCTAAAGTTTATTCAAGTGCCCCTTTAACTTTGAAATGCTTCCGACATTCCTGGAAACATACTTAAGAGAGCACAAATAAGCAGAAGAAAGGGCATATTCAAGTTAATATTTTAGAACAATTTTCAACCAAAGGAGATTTTTAGTTGGGAAATATCAATTTGCTGGTAAATCTAATTTTTCCTCTAGTTTGTCCCTTAAAAAACCCTTGCCTATTCAATAACAGAAAGCATGTTACGTAAGTTTGATACAATTAGCTTTTATAAGATCCGTAGCATGTTTTCCTTACATTTCACGACAATTCATAAATTATAAAAAAACCGTCCACTTTTTAACCAAGGTATCGTATTTCGTTCTTGGAACAAAGAAACAAAAATTCTATTTGATGTTTTTAACTCACCGGTAATGATGTTTCATTGAAATTCATCGTTTAGGCGGACAACAGGCGCTATGCGGGTGTACTAAAAAGTTTTAAATAGCCTTGATAAAGAAAATAATTGTTTCCAAGACTAATACGCTAACGTTTAAAACAAAAATAGGATTTAAAACTTAACGTTTAAAACTTAACTCTACGGTGGAGCGTGGGGGTGTGACACCCGTTGGAAATAAACTTCATTGCAAATACGAGGAGTTTTTGCAACGTAGGGGTGCTTCATCGACTCACCCTCTTTTCAGCGACTGGGACTAAACCCCCCTCTTTTAAGCACAAAATTTTTCTAACGGGGCATTCATTGAAGGGTTGTTAAAGGAAGGGCTTTTACTCCAAGTAATGCCAGGCCAATAGCTAATTTTATAATTGTCTTTCAAAAAGGATGTTTTCCATTTTCCACTTCCCAAATTCCAATTTTTCTTGATGTAGGTCACCACATCACCACACCCCTCCCCCCATCAGTTCAGGAAATAAACTACTTTCTTCAAACTTAAAATTTTTGACATCAAGACATTTGGATCGCAACTTTTCTCCAAAACAATAAATTCGCTTCTCCAGAAAATGATCTAGTAGGACAGGAAGATTTTAAAGGTTTAGGCCAATTGACAATATGAATATTTGAACAATAGTACAGGCCACCTGTCAGGCGCCAAGGGATGTATTGAAGAGGATCAAAGCATGCGAGCTGTCATGCATTCATGCCTGATTTCAAAGTTGCACGATCAGAGATCATGTGACTGAGTAACAACCAATCAGCGACGACCAAAACAAGGCCACATGATCGAAGGGAAAACACGAGAAGACCCGATAAACACACGTATATGTTCTTGAAGGAAAGCACGTTTTCGTGAGGTTTTTGAGAAAATTATCGATATTTTTAACCTAGTGTATAGTTCTAATCGGTTTTGAAGACAGATCCGTCACGTTCTGCAACATTTTGGCCATCAATTGCTGCTGGATACCCTTCGATTACTGGATAAACTTGGCCAGCTTTAGCCTTCAATTGGTTTGTTATTGTTTTCAGGCCACCGTTTTAAGGCCACTTGTTGAGCGAATCAACTACACCATCTGAATTCAGGGTATAACTTTCAAAAAGGTGTCGTGAATAAGCTGTTGTTGTATTCAAGAAGAATAAAGCCTTTGCCGATTGCATGCGCCGTGCATAGCTTGGGAGAAGGACTCCAATCCTCTTCTGCAAGACCAGCACTGTTGTGAGAGAAGAAGGCGAGTTGTGGGTGGACACAGAAAATCTCAGGAAAGGAGGTATAATTATTCTATTTTTACTGCCAGTGGTACCTAAGTTATATTTGCAAGGTTCCAAAAGATATAAAGGTTTGAGACGACCTTTCTGCACACCGTTCAAGTCGAACCACCACTTTCCCCTCCCCACCTCCCGGGCAGCTCATGTTGAGGGAAGCACATGGTAGCCGTGTTGGCTCATAACGGTTTTGAAATCCCAGTGTCTCTTAACAAATACTATTTAATTCTTATTATCTTTAGCTTATTGGATCCATTATGGATGTGGATGGAAGCAGCACTGTACCTACAGCATCTGTAGGGATGTTCCAGTCCAAAGGCATTAACGGAACACAGTTTGGGAACAATAGGCACGGAAAGCACGAGCAAGGACGTCGTCACCGAAGCAAAAGTGAAGGCTACGATTTGCACCATGCTCCAGATGTGAATGAGATTCTGAAAGAAGGGGTTGTAAAACCCGTTAAAGATAAAACCCATGATCGCAAGCCCAGGAACAATAAAGGCAGGGGTCAACCTAAAAAAGGTGAGATGGCCTGCGGTTGTGCAGTTGCAGATTATTGTTAATGGCAGAAATTATTCACCACACCTCCGCAGTCCAACTTTTAGTTGCAATTACTTTGTTGTTTTTTTCTGAGTAAATTTTAAAATTTTTGCACGCAGCTTTCTGAATTTTGGTATAATACAATCATTTGCGTAGACCTCACACTTATGGAGAGCATGTACTTCTAAAACCCTCCGAAACTTTTTATATTATGCACGATACTAGCATCTTTTTTTAAAGAAAAACAACAATTCTTGTAAGTTTAAGGAACCCAGCATAAGCACTTTTTTCTTGAATTCATCTCTTGATATTGTTCATGAATTGTAAAACATTATTTTTACCAATTGCCCAATACGTTGATCCATGAAACAAGTTGGTTGGATAGTTTAAGTTTCAGCAGGTACAACTTACAACCAGGAGATTCGGTCTTTAGTTTACATTTGAGTCTTAAAAGGAATGCGCGAAGAAAGACCTGTTGCAATGAGCATGTGCCATATTGTTCTGTTTTCTATGAAGCAATGTGCTCGAAATTGAAGTATATATACATATATTTATATATATATATATATATATATATATAATATAATATATATTTAAATTAAAGTATATATATATTTTTTTCATGTCAATTATGTTATCTTTCTATCTGGAAACTTTTGAAACTTTCTATCTTGAAAATGTTGAAACTTTTCAATGTTTATCATTTTCGCTTATATAAATAAAAACATTGTTATTAATTTATTAATGCCTGATAAAGTCTTCAAATTTTTTGCATTTTCAGTGGTCAATAAATAGTCTTAATAGCTCCTATGCTTGTAAACTACCGCATTATTTCACAAATATACCTGAATAATCAAATTTCTGATATCAATTTGATTTGAATTTCAGGTGGTGCTGGTGGAAAAGGCACATGGGGCAAAGTTGGGGAGATTTATGAGGAATATGGTGATTTAGATGCCAATGACCCCAATTATAACTCAGAGAATGAGGTACATTTATTCAATGAAAATAATTCATTCAGATGATCTCTTTTTGATTTTTTATTTTATGATTGGAATATTGCTCTTGTTAATTGGATTTAGATTAGTTGTAATCTTTTGTAGGAATGTATCATGGAACATGTGACACCTGAACTGCACAATGACGAGTTTCAAAAGCAGATGGAGCCTCTCTTACAGGTAAAACTGATTTACTTTCTTATTTTTTAGCTACTTGAAAAAATTAATCTTTGACTATTCATGCAAAAGTTGATGTAAGTTACTTTTATTCTACAACTCATTAAATTTCATAGAATCAGTCTATACTAAGAGCATATTAATTGTATTCCAGGAATATTTTGATCATGGAGATACAAAGGAAGTTGCTGTAAGTAATCCCAGTAGCAAATACTGATGTTCCCTCACTTGCAGATATCTTAATGCAAATCACAGTCTTCTACATCATTTTCAAAATCTCAAAAATCCCTAAAAAATCTTATTCTTCTAAAAAATATTGTACGATGTTTTGAAAAAGTAGTGCCTCTCATTTAATGTTTACTTCAATCTGCTGTCCAATGGCAAAATGTTTTTTCAATCTTACAGCCAAATATAAAGAGTCATTATATATATAATAAATATGTATACTGTGTATTTAGATTTATGTTGAATGTTTCATGCTAACTTCAATGCATAACTTATATGCAACCATACTATTTGGTATAATCACACATCTGAGTTTTTGGAGAGTGTAAAATTTGCACACTTTTGCAGATATGTTTAATCATTGTTATAATTCAGCATAGTAAATGGAATCCTCTCTGTATAAGCATAGAAAGACACAGAAGTCTGCCAGTTTTTAAAAACTTAGACTCAATATCTTGACCTTAGATCTGAGAACAATTTCTTTAAATGGGATTTGTATGAAATGGCCAGATTTGTGTTCTGCTAATAATTAGCTCTATTTTTGGCTATATATTTTGCCTTAATTGGGGGCCGGTTGTTATCAAAGACAAACTTACAGGGTTGCTGTTCTCTCTTTGATTAGCTCCTTTCCTGGCTACAAGTTTTTAGTTTGTAGTGTCTGTGGTGTCATCATTAAGTTTCAAAAGGCCAATTATTAACATAACATGATTTATCCTTCTTTGTTCCAGGATATTATTTCAGGCTGGAACATTTCCCATTTGAAGCACCAAGTGAGTTCGATTTATAATTTGTATTCCTTTTAATATGAGCCATGTTTTGAGAAAGAGTGAGTGTGTGAAACAAGCATGGAATTTTAAGGTTAAGGGCAGTAGAGGACGAACAAAGATGAGTTGGAAAGGAATGTTGGAATGGCAGTGCCATAAATGTGATGTGAACTTTGAGGATGCAAATTACCGAGTGAAGTTGAGAAGTTGCACCAAGTCATGGAAAAAAGTCAGTAACCCCTTGAAAAAGAGAAAAACCCTGACTTAAATAAACTGATGATGATGATGATTTCGTTTAGCCATTGGATTATTTCGTCTTCTGAGCTAGTTTTTTCTAAAAAATATTTATACATATATATATATATCCATCTCTTTTTTGATAGATTACATCTTTATCCATCACAAAGGCCATGGACAAGAAGGTAATTTGTTGTTTAACAACATTTTTATCTTTTTTCTATAGCCATTTTTAAGATTTCCTTTTTTATGCTGTTTCATAAGAGCTTGTGATAATTACATGAACATATGAAAATTTAATTAAATATTAAAGCATGCTTTACTTTTGCTATATATATAACGTTTTTGTGAAATTTATCCAAGCTCAAGTATGAACTATTGTGTAATGGGTATCTCAAAGGGGTTGCATTCATTTTTGCTTTATTTAGGCCCCCCAAAGAGAAATGACATCCAGGTTGCTGTCAGATCTTTATGGACACAAGATTCTGCATGAAGATGAAGTTGAACAAGGTAAAACATAGATCTATGTTTATTTTAAGTTAATTGCAAGTTAGATTTATATCTATTACCTGTTTTTCATTACGTTATTGCAGAGTTACATAATTATATGGAATATACATAATTAATCATAATCATAAACATAAGTATCTCTTGGAATATTGTGAATTTCCCACACAACTTTATCAGCTCTGAAAACTCAATTGCAAGCAGGCACTCCAATCAGGTGCTAAACATACAGTAGCTACCTGTCTTGCTGATTTATTACTGATTTTTTATATATATAGATAGATATATATTATACTATTAATTATGTCTTTGTATTTATTTAGTTATATTTATGTCTTTTCCAAAAGAGTGTTTAAGCACATTGATTATTGACACTTTGTGATTTATTTTTGTTCTTTTCTTTTTACAAAGTTATATTTGGTTCATTAAAACTGCCCTATTCTCTGCTTTTATGTTCATTTGCAAGAGTATTTTTGAAGAGGCAAATTTTTCCATAATGTACCAAAAATTCTCCTGACCACTCATAACCTTTATTCCAATTCCACTTAATGTGGCAATTGTTTGCTTTACAAATGGTCTGTAAATGTGCTTTTTAAATCAAAATCTTTCTTGCCCTTAGAATGATTATTTAATATTATTTATCTTATAGCTTGAATAATGTTAAAACAAGGACCATATTAAAAGTCACTTTTATAAAAACATTGAAAATAAACTTGTCAGAAAAATCTCATTTGGTGGGAAATTTTAAGCTTGTGAATTCCTTTAAGGTTTTCAGGTTCTGATGAATGGTCTTTCTGATTTGACACTGGACACCCCTGATGCACCACAGGTATCTGTCTAACTAGAACTTTGCACACTAGATGGCAGATAATATAATACCTATAAACAACTTTATACAGAATAGAAAATAGGAATGAAGAATATCTGTGGTTTTGATTTGGTTAAATTTAATTATTTACCAGCATTGTTATCATACATAGTTAATCATTTATATATTATCTTTTTTGTCATAATCTGTACATTTTGAGTATTTTGTCTATAATTTCATAGCTTCTTGGCCAGTTTATGGCTAGAGCCATTGCTGATGATATACTGAACCCAAATTTTGTCAAAGAGTTCGAGCACCCATCAGACCTTGGAAGGTAAGTAAGCTTTTATTTTGTTGTTGATTTAATATTAACCAGATATTTCTCTTTATTTACATAAAGGAATTGAATCAGTATGTAGACTGTAAATTTATAAAAAAACTGAAAAGAGGAGAAAATAGCTCTTCATAATGAGCAAATCTTTAGTAGCTGATTTCCTATGCTTTTACATCAATCCCATGCTTTATTGCACAAGCAAAAGTTGTACTGCATTTTAAAAGTACAAATTGACTTGCATAAAGATAACAATGTTTGTAAATTGATCTACAGGCAGGCTGTTAACAAAGCAAATGCCTTGTTGAAAATGAAGCATGGCATTGTTCGCCTGGACAATGTTTGGGGAGTTGGTGGTGGTTTAAGACCTGTAAAGGTGCTATCAAAAAAGGTTAGAAACAATAAATGCCCTATTGTTTAAACATTTATATACATTACAGGTTAAGATATGCCTATCAATGGTTTTTGGTTAAGATAAAATTTATTAAACACCTGCTAAATGGTGCTTCTAAACAGATAAAGATGTTGAAGGTTGACTCAGACATGGCAGTGTGTATCTTTATTAGTGAGCTGTGAATTATTCACCTCATTTGTTAAAGTGAGCTACAACCAAGAACAGATATATAAACTGTGTATACTTAAAATGGCCTAGAAGTCACTCAAAATTAGAAAGAATCAATGCAGTATTAATTTAAGTTATTATTGTTTTTGAAGTTCCCTTCAAATCTTTGATTTTTATAATTTTTGTGCCTGTTTTTAAGATTCATCTAGACAGAACCTACAACGAAATGGAGCTTTGGGAGATCTATTTTTCCATCTTTTTTTATTTAGGAGGGTGTTTCATAGCTCTCCTCCATTTGGGAGGGGGTTCGGAGAGGAGGGCAAGCTGTTGCTCCCCTCAAATGGCCAGCCCTGTTGAATGCTCTGATTCTTTGCAAATAAATTTAGTGCCTAATTGGTTTGGAAGCTTGTCATTGAAAATCTTATCTGGATACTTGTTATTTTAATGAAATATCTGCCAAACATAAATTATTTATAACTGTTTAAATTGTTATACCTATAGATTTATTCTGTTTGCTTTCAGATCATTTTGCTGCTTAAAGAATACCTGTGCTCCAAGGATTCAAAAGAGGTAAAAGGCTTTAGAATATTATGAAATTGCAGTTTGCAAGTTATACACTAGTGTATCAAAAGTATTGCACCACCTCGAAGGAGGAGAAATGGCGCGTGAATGATTGAAAGCTATTGTTATGCAAATTAATTCTGTTTTTAGAGGGGCAATGGCAATTGGTCGAAAGCAAAACAACGACCAATCAAAACGTCAACCTATTTAGAGCGTTTGTTTGAAAAATAGTAGCAGCCAACATCTTTTAACAGTTTCAAATATCAATATTTTGACTGGCTGCCGCAAACTTTTGAAATCGCAAAAAGCCTCCTTGAAATGGATCCATGAATTTGGGCAACGTATTCTTGTAGAATTTCGTATTAGGCCTGGAAAAGTCTTAGAATAAATGATTCTCTGGCTTTCGGAGGACCATTTGGATCACGGTTTGTAACATTTTTCATTTGAAGTCAAACTTTTTTAGCGATGTTAAAGATTGGACTTGATTCTGGCTATGCCAAAACTTTAATTTCTTTTATATGGAAATAAATATTTGTAAAAATGGTTTCCATTTACTCAGGTAACCTATTCTTTTGTATTTGTGCAAAACACTCATTATATTTTCTGTGGACGGATTTTGAGCTGCAAAACCTTGCGCAGTGTTGAGTTTTATGCCTTTTACTGCCCCTTGGTGCTGTACGCAGTGAAATAAAACAGACAAATTCTTTCCCCTCTAACATCAAAATTATTTTGGTCGCCAATTTCTCGGTTTCTTTACAACTGTAACACTCTCGAGAAATCTTTTTTGATTTACCGCAGCTGTTGTGTAGCTGCATCTAACTTGGTCAACATTTTTTTAAAAATTAAAGACCATTTCCTTGCAAATGTTTTATAGCGACTCGCCTCTCATTTGACAAATCTGTTTCCTCAGGCTTGGGTTACATTTTTAGAGATAAAAATGTTTTTGCGTAATTTATACATTTCTAACTAAATTTTCTATGGCGTCAGCAAGATTTGCAAACTTTTCCCGCCAAAGTTTGCTCTCAAATGCGCTTAATTCACCCAGTTCTTGCATTCAGATGTTTTGTACTGCCAAAAAGTTTACAAAAAGTGCCGCCATTTTGAGCAGGGTGGTGCAATACTTTTGATACCCTAGTGTATATATATAAAATTGTTTTCATTTGTCTTGATAGCAATGAAAGTTTTTTGTTAGTTTTGTGTAACTTGCCTCATTCTTTTAGGCCCTTAGGTGCGTGAATGATCTGGATGTCCCACATTTCCATCATGAAATTGTTTATGAAGTAAGTACACATGTCTTCCATCTACCATAATGCTTTGCCTAGGTTGCTTGGCCTACTTTCAATATGCTCTCAACATGTTTTAATTATTAAGTTTGCTTACCTATTCCTATGTCTTATTCCCTTTCCTCTTTGCTAGGCGATTTTACTTGTTTTGGAGTCAGGAACTGAAAGCATCATGGACTCCATTATCCAGCTTCTCAAGGAATTTTCTGACAGCGCCCTGATCACAAAGGATCAACTTATAAATGTATGTCAGCATTCATTTATAAATAATGTGTTTCTGCACTTTTTCATCTACTTTGGTATATATGTGTTCAATTTTATAAATTGTAATTGTAATTTTAAATTTATTTTCAAAATGAAAGCTTGGACTGTAATTTGTCTATCTTAATTAAGGATTCTTTTGTTAATTCTTATCACAGCAAACACCGTTTTGAGCTAGATCATTTGTGCTGTATCAAAATCTCAGTAATTTTTACATTTCAGCACTATTTATATTTTCATTTAACAGAATTCTTCAGAATTAGCTGGTCTTATCTTCAGCTAAATAAGAATTAAATGTATGACTTTTTCATGATTTTAGCAAGTTAAGTCTATTTTTTATCCATTTGGACATTTCATGTGATTATTACTGGTGTAAAGATAAATTATTGCTAGGCCAGGGTAAAATATTTTGAAGATACTAAACTTTTTCCAGCTTTCTCAAAATAGATATAATTTTTAGAGGTTTAGAAGTAATATTTGAACTTTTTTGAGAAGAAACTTCTAATAAGGAAATTTTTGAACAGGGATTCCAGCGTGCATACAAAGCAATGGATGACATTGTTTTGGACTCACCTCATGCCTACCAAACACTGCATTCATTTGTTGACAAATGTGCTCGAGCAAGAGTTGTGTCTCTCTCTCTCAGGGACCAAGCACCTTCAAGGTACCTAACTTTTTATGACAAGATCAACTGTTCAGTGAAAGATATCATTGTTTCACAATTCCCTGTAGATATTCAAAAATACAGCATGTTCAAGTTTTCTATATTCATATGTGCATATGTTTATACTTTGTAAAATCAGAATGGGAGGAGTTATATGATTATGCATTGAGAGAGGTCAGCATTGGTCTGTCTTTTTCCAGAGTAAAGTAGTCAAGTGACTGGAATTACTAAGGCTGATTTATAAGTCTGTAGATATTTTTGTTGCATTTGCTATTATATGTTGTTTATTCATGCAAAACATATTCATGTAAAGAACTGCAGAGGATAATTTTTATTGTAAATTTTATCTGGTATCTTTTGCAAACTTGGTATCTTTTGTTTTAGGGGACGTAAACGGTTTGTCAGTGAAGGAGATGATGGGTCTATGAAGTTTCAAGCCCCTAAACATTAACAATGGACTCACATTGAGTGACTTGAGCTTAATGATCTTTCATTAAGTATGAACAAATGATGACATCAGGGCTGTGCAATTTGTCGCTTGGCTAAAATAAAACATATGGAAATCAAATTTAGCAGTTATTTCTAGATCATGTTGTTCATGTATTGCTCAAAATTTTCAGATCCTTTACACCAAACATTCTTGCCTATTAAATAGTTAAGGCACAACACACCTTTGCTCCTGTATAGCTTGAAATCAGTTTATTTTTATGAAAGTGTTCCAATTTTGCTATGGATTATAGCATACAGAGATAACATAAATTACTATAACTTTGAATTCTTCCCTTTTTTATACAGATTTATTCGGGTGAAGTCATTATATCTTTTTATGATATTTAGGCCATAGTTTGATACATTTATGATCAGCAACTTGGGTTCATTTGAGTTGTTTTTTCAGAAATCAACTTTTTTAAGATTTACAATTGTTGAGTAAATTAGCAAGAAAAACATGTAACAAGGTCTTCTTCGACTCAAGTTTACAGTTGTGTTGCAAGATCATGACTGTTTCAATGGACAGTATGGATGTAACTATGTTCCTTGTATCTTTTAGGCTGCAGTTACTCAAAAAAAATGTCACTGTAAATAGACCTTCTTTGATTGTCTTTATAACATCAACACAAACTCTTCTCATTGCCTGTCTTTCTTTTTGATAACACACTTATTGGCATGTTATAATTCATTCTTGCATAATTTTCTTGGTATAATTCATGACAAAAATTATAGGTTCTTGTGAATTGGTAACATTGTAATGTTTTGAAGGAGAAAAAGGTGAAGGAGAAGAAGGAGTAATTAAGCTAAAGTCAGTTTTTGAACAAGTTTTTAGAAAACTACAATCGGGTACTTAATGAACTCCCCCTGCATAAAACTTTTTCAAAAAATCCACTCATAACATTCCAGACCAACTGTATGTTATTTTTGTACCTCGTGTAACTGCTATGAAGTTGAAAATTTCGTGAAAAGTTTATTGGTTATGCCACCCTGTTAAGTGCTGTTTAGTCGTGTTGAGTGCTATTGCTTTTCACTTCATCTGCACACTGCACACTATTGCTTTTCATGTCTAGCGCGTGTTTAGTTGTTTTGCCACCAATTAAAAATTTGTCGCGCAGGCCCAGTAGCTATTGGTGATGATGAAATGAAAAGCGACACTGTTAAAAAAGTGAAATCAATTCTGGTTATGAGGAAGGAAGCTTGTTTGTTTCAGATAAGGGAGCAACCCGACCTTGGGAGAAAAATGAACGTAAAAAACGGGCTTTGAGTCGTGAAGGGTGTTAGTGATCAAAAGATAACTGGAAAAGCTACAAAAAAAATTAAAAAAGGCACAGCATCATATGGTTATATGCAGAAATTTCCCATTTAAAAATTTTACGCTTTGCGTCTTCCATCATTCTTTAATGTCTAAAAGTATCCCGCTGAGTTTGTGCAGCCCATCCCAAATGGCTCGCAATTATAGCAAAGCTAATGAAATGTTTAGTTTAGTGAAAAGTTTCGGCATGTTTTGCTACTTTCGCTAAACTTAGCTCAATTTGACTAAGCAAAAGTTGCGTGAAATGTTTGGTAAACTCTGTTTCGGGATTTGGGAAATTTTCTGTTTCGCACTCGAGATTGATCATTGCAAAAGTAAGTCTTAAAATCCAAAAGCTTACGGTTTGGTTCAAAAGTTTGTCCATCTCCTGTCATATTTTGTCTGCATTCTATCTTGCTTTCCATGACTTCTGTGAAACATAGAAAGCAAAGATAAGCGATTACTTTGCGAAAAAACGTCATTTTTTGATTTGGCAAATTTTTTGTGCCAACATGGGTTTTCGGTGAAAGTCCTAAGCGACATGAAAAAGAACAATAATAAAAACGTTATTACAGGAAAAAGAGTAAATGGGGACACCGGAAGAGGTTTCTCGGCGCTATACTAATATAATATCCCTCTAAATATGACTCTAAATGCGTGTACGTTTCAACTCTTCTATGGGCAAGTACCGAGGTTGTTGGCTTTTCTCAAACTCAAGTGATTCATAATAGAGGAGATTGGTGTGGTCTGCAAATGTGCACGATCAAGACGCTCTCCAATTGCGGTTTACCTCCACATTTCAAAACCTTCCGAAGGCTCTCAGTATGAAAATAATGTCAGGGCCTTATGGCTTTCCAACTAAACAAAATGCGATTTTCCTCTCACACTGTCCCGGGACAATTTTGTACCGTTACGGTTCGCAAGTGTTTACCCTGTCGCGGTTCCAAATTATTCCATATAGCCGTTCCGTTTACACTGTACCGATACGACCTTAATTCAATGGTAGAATATTGTTTAGAGGAGACTGTACTTCGTCAACTAAGGCTTTTATTTTGCCGCCGAAGTCAACAATCGAAATTTCATTGAGAGCTAAAATGGAGCGGAAGGTCGATAAAAACTTTACTTGGACGGACGACGAGGTGGCTTCAATTCTCAGTGTTATTTTAGACATAGTCAATATGTTTTAGCCTACAAAACTGCTAAGTCAGATCAAGGCTTGGACTGGGAAACAATACAAGCCTTTTCTGTCAGGCACGTAAATACTGTAACAGGATATTTCTTATATTGTATAACCTCGGTTTCATTTGTACCTCGTTTAGTTTTACGTCAATCATTAATTAATCTATTGTATGCCGGTAGTATAAATATCATGAGATTTTGTAAATAAGGGCTTTTTGATTAGCACGATAACAAGAATGTAAGCAAAGAACAAGATCTTATTTCTTCGTTTCTCACATGAAATCCTCTCGCATAAGTCTGCGCAATACAGCGTAAGACCTTTACAAAAGTGGTGTAGGACCCGAAATCGTGCGTGCCTTCACAAAAGTGTAGGACCCGTTTAAATAACACCACAATGACATCGCCGGAAGAAGTTCTTGGAATCGTCAAAGGACTCGCTGATGTTGTTCGTGACCACCATAATTCATCAAAAGAAGTTACGAATCAGACTCAGCAGCAGATCCAAGACCTTTCGCATGCCGTTGCTGACCTTTCGCTCTCCATTCGTGCCCGCGATGCCTCGCCTCACCAATCTATTCGCTTACCTCCTCTCAGCCTGCCACAATTCACGGGAGCTGAACCGATCGACCGTTTCGCCGAGCAGTTAACCCAAGTTTTGGCAACATCTGGGGTTTCTCCACGCCTCTGGCTCACCTACCTTAAACAACAAAGCCAGAAAGACTCTCGTGCCTTTGACATAATCTGCGCCTTCGAAACCTCCAACGCCACAAAATTCACTTCAAAAACTACGCCTGATGAGTTTCGTACCCTCTACGATCAATGTCTTCAAAATTTATGCCGCCAACGTGGAATTCCGAAAGAGGAACAGCTTCGTCAACTCTTGGCCGTTTATTACTCTATGCGCCAACAACCTCAAGAATCTGTATCAAATTTTGCCCACCGATTCCTCGAAACCCAACACTCTCTGGAAAAACTTCTCCCAGGAATCCACACCTCTCCAGATGGTCAGCAGCTAGAGCTGATACACGCCTTTGCCATGAAGCTTCACCCACCCATTGCCAAGGATCTCTTGAGCCGAGATGAACCTTTTAAATCCCTTCCTGCTATCATCGAAGCCGCCAAACGCCATGAATCTGTTCTGCCTTCTACGGACCCTTTGCCTAAGGCGCTCATTGCTGAACCAAACAAAACACCTCCTGGATCAGGTATGAAGAATTTTTCAAGCTCCTCATTGCCTTCGCAAATCTGTAGAAACTTTAACAAATTTTCTCATTCGTATTGTCAATTACCTGGCAATAACTGTAGATTTAAACGCTTGCACAAATGCTTGAAATGTAATAAATTTGCCTGTAAAGAGATTTATCATGAGCAGCATAATAATTCTCCTGTTACTCAGGCATCTTCAACTCCTCGTAATAGAAATTTTGTTCGCCATACTCCTAAAGTTTCAGCTCATACAGCTGCCTCTAATTCACATGAGTCGGTTTTACTTAGTTCAGTAAAGCAAATTGTTAACGATTCTCTTGTTGATTTGCGCCAAGAACTCACTACCAGCATTAAAAGGGAAGTGGAAAAGTGTCTTCCACAACCCTCGGGTACCCCTTTTTCTGCCTCGGCAGACTCTTCGCAAGATCCTCTTTTCGGCATGCCAGCCATCACAGCTTTGCCCACCAAGTTCACAATTTCGGCTATCGATCTTGCGAATAAAAACATTCTGTGGACAAAGGTTTCTTCTGCGGGTGTGTCCTTACCCTTGCCTCTCGACAGTTGCTGTTCTGTTTCGCTGGTGAGTCAAAAACACGCCGATACCGTGGCGAAATATAATTCGAATTTTAAATTCACCAAATTAGAACAGCACATCCCTGTCTCGGTAGCTGGACCATGCTCAGCCCTTCGGGCAGTTGGTACCATGCAAGTCCCCATAGTCTGGGAAAACGGTAGGTCGACCACTTTTACAATGCTGGTAGTTCCTAACCTCACATGGCCTATTTTGTTTGGTCAAAATCATCTACGCCAAACAGATGCTATTATTCGTTCTCGTGAACTTACTGTGTATTTTGCAAATAAGGCCATGGGTTTTGAAGTTAAGTGTTATGATTCGAACCCCGCACTTGCTTTTCCTAGTTTAGATTTCTCTAGGCCAGGATCTATTGCTAATGTCACATGTTTGCTTACCGCGAAGCCTACGCTTACCGGCTCGCCGAACAAGGTTTACTTAGAACGCGGGTTCAATCTTGTAACTGTCTGTTTTTTCATTGCAGCCTCATTAGTAAGCTCACCCCTTTTTTCCGGCCCTTTATGGTTAGAGGGTAACCGATTTTCACCAGGTCTTGAAACCCTTAGTGGCCCCATAGACCTACTTTCTGTAGACAACTCTTTTTTTCCTGATGAAACCCCGCCACCCTTTCTTACTGCTAATCGCCCCACCCATCCTAAGTGTCGCCCTAGTCGCCCTATTCCTCCAGCTGACCAGTATTGCATGGGCGCCTTGTGCTCTGCAGGTGATAATAGCGTACCAAGCGCAGCTAATCCTTTTTGCTTTCAGGCGCATATTTTAATCCGTTCTACAAAGGGTAAGGCGGTGCTTCCTAGCAACATTTCATTAGGCTCCATTAGAACGCCTCTTGCAGATGACATTCAAGTAATGGAATGCGCAATTAAGCATACTGCTAATTTGGTTTCTGATAGGTGTTATGCAGCGCTTGCCGCCAACAACTCTATGCCTGACATTCCTGTCACTCAAGATAGTGCCTCCGCCATTCATTCATCGCGCAATGATTCAACCTTGTTGGCAGATTTTTTAGATCGCAACCTCTCAGATAACGAACACGCATTACCTCCTACGGATGACCCACATTTAGATCCTTCTTCTGAGATGTTTTTTACTGAGCTCTGCAATGCGCTACGCATAGACACGC